ACGACGTCATATGAATAAAATAAAATGAACCTCACTTGTGGCTAATATTTGTGTGCCAAAAATGAAACACTTTTAAAGTAATTGTCTTTAAATGTGTTTTGATTCATGGGCTAGCAATCTTTATGATTCGTAACATTAGATCATAGATAAGAAGACCGTGTGGCCTTCGGTTTGATTGCAATCTCCTTTAGCTTTATAGAGTTGACTCGACCTATTTCTGAATCTCTTTCTCTCAACCCTACTTCATTGTCTTTTGTTTATAAAGGGAATTTCCCAAATGATCAAATAATGTGAAGATTCATACACTTGACTCTAAGGTTTTTTTAAATTTATGTCCTCAATCGAAAACAATTATACGACTAATGGCTCAATCTACTTCTTAAATTCCATGCTCTTATTTCACTTCTGTTTTGCTATCTAGTATGATTAACATTGATAAACTATTACTTTCACGACTGGATTAATTTTATTAGGTAGACTTTCATTTTTATGAAAGTGTATGAAGAAGAGATTCGAAGGTCGATATCACCGGAAGAGGACAGTTAAATCCCATTATACTGTAGCCAATATTATTATCGCAGGAGATTCATCGAAACCCAGTTATTCTTCATATCTGGATTAATTTTATCTCGGGCTCATTGAGTGAAGGCTCTTGGGATATTTTCATATGCCTATTTTATCACCTCCTATGATGTTTACTTTACAACAGTGGCTAAGATAGCTCAATAATATAGATTTCGAAACCTTTGTCAATTTGTCCTTCACCATTTACAAGGTTGGCAGAAACTAGCTTGAGTAAACTTGAAGGGATATTCTATGCTGCTGTGAAGCTAACTTCTGGCTCAAAAGGCGGTTGTTTATATTTATAGCACCAATTTGTAACCAAAGTAATAGCTTAGGACTGATTCTATCGTATAAATTCAATTTAGGCTAAATGCACTAAACTATATATTGAATCTATTTCTTTATGTCCCCTTTACATGACCACTAATGGAAAAACAGCCCTACACAATCTTCTTGTGACCCTGGTTATGTTAGGGCTTCATCTACTCACTTATATTAATGTCTTATAAAAGAAGTTGTTTTTTATTATTAAATCCATTTATGCACTTATTTTATTTATGTATATACTTATCCTGTTATGCTCGCTGATTAACTTATGCATTTTCGTTCTTTAATTCAGGATTGCTTGATTTGCTTCTTGAACGCCGACTTTTGGTTGACTGACAGATGTAAGTCGGTCCCCGACCCCGCTTACCTCCGGATTTTTGATGCTTCTCTCTGTTCTGAAAATCCCGTCTCTGTTTCTAATCAAGTGTACGAAAGCAAGTTTGATCAACCCTGTTTATCTGGACCCCCAAGCCGGAAAAACAAAATTTTAATCAATTCTCCATCTTCTTTGGTTGAGTTTGCCCAGTCTTGTTGCGCTAGAAATGGGAGAGAGATATATTGCCTTACAAATGAATCGTTGGATGTCTCTGATGGTTTAGTTGACGAGGACGATCCATTTGCTGGAGCGCCTGCCTCGCAAAAGTTGCCTGTCCCAAAACCGTTCTTATGGAGTATGTTCAGTCATCCTTATTTAGTCTCTTATGGCTTTTATTCCCGTTATATAAGTACAGTTCCATTCTCATTGTTTATCTTGTAACCATGATTATTTAACAAATATGTTGTCGAAAATCCCGGTATTAGCTGAGCCAGAATAAATCATTGAAATGTGTTTTAAATATGTCATTTTTGTATTCATTTTCTCACTAAACAGTAACATCATAATCTTTGTTCTTCAACTCGTAAGAAACTCGCTTTCTTAACTTAAATGACTGGAAATTTTACATCAAAAGTTATCTAGCATAAAAAGGGGATGATTTTTGCAGAACTGGGTATCCATATGCCTCAATATTGCTTCGTTCATCTTACTTTGCCCATTAGTGAACAGAGTGGTATGATGAGAAGGTTTATTTTGATGCCTTATTAAATAAGTATTTTCAAATGGTTACTCCTGCGAAAAATTAATTAAATGGGAAATAAATTCAAATTATCTATCAGTCAATATTATTATAGAAGTTGTTTGACCTTGTTTTCGCAACTTGGTCATATTGGTAGGAAGACTTATATGAAAGCACCTTGTTCC